GCTGAGTAACATCCTCAGTGCAGCCTCCGATGAAGGCTTCATTGGAGGCTGCACTGAGGATGTTACCAAGCACAGTAGCGAAATGTCTGCGAAACAACAAACCAGCTTGGTGAGCCAACCAACCTCGACACCCACAACCCGAGCTACAAATCTACTCCAAAACCTTAGCAACTGGGAGTTCCTAATATACATACATATATAGGATTTCAAATTAGTGACAAATGAGTTTTGTCCTAATTATTTGAAAGAGATTAATAATTAACTATGTATGTCTTTCTGGAACCATGATTTAAAACTGGAGTGTGCCTCCTGGTACGTTAATGGGTATTTGTTTATATTGTGCTGGTTTGTGACAGATGAAAGAAAACATTGACAGATTTTAATTTGTTTTGGGTTTAGAATAATTAAGAACTGATTTTTGAAAGTGTAGAAACATAGAAAGTAGGAGCAAGGGAAGGCCATTCAGCCCTTCAAACGTGTTCTGCCAATCTTTATGATCACGGTTAATCATGTAAGTCAATTGCCTGTCCCTACTTTTCTGATATCCTTTGACCCCTTTAGCCTGAAGTGCTATAATCAACTCCTTCTTGAATCCATTCAATGTTTTAGCCTTGACTACTTTATGCAGTAGTGAATTCCACAGGCTCACCACTCTCTGGGTGAAAAATTTCTCCTCATTCCAGTGCTAAATAGTTTACACTGTATCCTTAGACTATGAGTCCTAGTTCTGAACTCCCTACTATCAAGGAAATCCTTCCTGTATCTAACCTGTCTAGTTCATTTAAGATGTTATAGGTTTCTCAGAGATCTCTCCTTATTCTTCTGAATGCCAATGAATATAATTCTAATTGACCTCTCTTCATACATCAGTACTCCCATCCCAGGGATCAGTCTGGTAAAATTTTGATACACTCCTTCTATAAGAAGGATACCCTTTGTCAGAGAAAGAGACTAAGACTACACACAATATTCCAGGCGTGGTCTCACAAAGGTCCTATATAAATACAGCAAAACATCCCAGAGAACTGAAGTCTACTTGGGAGTTTCAAAGAAGACCTGAATGAATTAGATGCAAGTATGGTCTCTTCTAGAAAGAAGAAATTTGTCAGAGCAAGATGGTAATAAGCTAGCTCAGCAAAAGGGTTTAGTTTGTAAAGCGTCTCAAACAGAAATTTTTCGTTAGAACTCTGCAGATTATTCCAAGACTAATAAAAATCGAAATCATTTAATTCGATGTTCAAGGGAAAGGTTTCATAGGCCTAGAAAGAAACAGTTAAAGCAAGTCTACAGTTTGAATAGGAAAGGGATTTTTCTGTTTTTTGAGTGACTGTAAAGTGAAGGTTTTGAACAATAGATGGGACTTTATTTTGGCGGGTAATTTAAAATATTTTATACCATGTTGTATTTAGAAAGTAAAACAAAACAAAGAATTGCAAATGGAACTAGACATCTGAAGAAACCAAACTGAGAAAATGCTGGAGAAACTCTGCAGGTCTGACAGTATCTGTGGAGAAAGAAACAGAGTTCTGAAGAAGAGTCATACTGGACTCGAAATGTTATGTCTTTCTCTCTCCACAGATGCTGCCAGCCCTGCTGAGTTTCTCCAGCATTGTCTGTGTTTGTTTCTGATTTTCAGCATCCATGATGCCTTTAGTCAGATCTGAAATTAAAGCCATTGACATCTGTGTTACAGGGGACACTGTTAGCAAGTAATCCGTGGCTGATACATTTGAGAGTGCAGGCACGAAACAGTTTAAGACGAACAAAACCAAAAAGTGCTGGACACATTCAGCAGGGTTGGCAGCATCTGTGGAGAGAAATCTGAGTTAATGTTTTTAGGTTTCATCTGAATGTAAGGATCTCCCAGTAGTTCTGCACTGCTGTCTTAGCATTGATTTTCATGTTCATGTTTTGTATAAAGGATCTACTCAAGTGGCTACAAATTAAGCAATAAACTTGTGCAACTTGCAGGAATTAATATCAGGTTTGTATAATAAAGGCCCAGAAACCAAGCCAAATCAACTACAATCAAAAATAAAGCATTTCCGTTGAGTTAGAGCAAGGGCAAACAAGCAGCAATAAATTGATTGCAAGGATGTTTCATCTTTTGAGTTCAGTCTGCCATAATAAAAACCACAATGAACAATGCACCCGTCTGCAGATTTTTTTATTTCAATGGTACTTTTTATGGTGAGCAACAAAATCATTCTGAGGACAGTGCAGTGAATGTTTTCTCTGTGGTGACCTTTGAAATACAGATGGAAGCGATAGGCGATATTGTCAAACTCATGGTCCCTGGATCGATGAAGACTAGACATATAAGTAAGATACATGTGGAAATCTTGACATGATGACTGGCAAGTTTCAAATTCCTATGAGCCTCTGCTAACCTCTCTCCCTGACCACCAAGTACACCCAAGGCTTAACTACCAGCTCACCTGTGTGCCAGCTCACCAGCTAGCAATATCTAAGTTGCTTTATTTAGACATTTCGAAGCAATCCCCTGCCTCTACACTGAGTTCAAATCACACACATTGCATAGTTCTAGTTAGTTTCCTTGTAGTTACACCTGAGAACTGTTGACTAAATCAAAGCTTCGACCAGCTCACCCCTTGTGCCAGCTCAGCAATCTGCATTATCTTGGTTTATTTAACATTTCAAAGACAGCCTCTCAAATGTGAAGGAAGGATGTGGCTCAGAAAACATATGGATTTGAGAAAGCCATCAGTGAGGATTGCAATTTTATATCACCTGAGCTACAGAATTCCATGATTATGCATCACCATGTGATAAATTAACCCCAGTCACATTCCATCAAGTTGCTCACTAAAATTTCAGAGATCAATACTTTGGGTTGAGGACAGAATTATCACATCAGATGTATATACAACCAGAATTCTTCAGTTCAAAGTAAGGTTTAGGGGATAACCACATATTGTTGTGGCACTTGTAAAACCAGTGATACATGTCAAGGCGAGGGGGGTCTGCAGCTGGGTATGGGGACGATGGCAAGTGAAGGTGTTGGGACAGAGTTGTTGGCATTAAAACCTCACGAACACGTGAACAAATCACTTTGCTGAACTGCAGAGGTAGATCTGAAAATGAAATGTGGCACAGTGTAAGAAAGCAATGCTACATGTCAAGGCCAAACGGTTGTGCAAACTCATCTGCACACTCAACACAGCTTATTTTTGCAAAATAATCCATGGAATTGAAACCGAGGCAGGACAATCTTAATCTGTGGTCATGGTGGTAAACTTTGGATGACTTTCGACATTGAAGTTTGACGTTAGAGTTAGGAAATTGCTTTACATACCTCCCTTTCCATCATCTTGGATGTACAGAAAAATAATCTATATCCTGAAATGTTTTCATTGTTGTAATGTAAGGAAGGCAGTAACCAAAATGCATAGAGCTGTCTACGTTAAATCAATAGGAATTTGACAAAATGAACATTCACCACTGCTTCAAGGCATTGACTGAGTTTTGACCTCTATTGATGTGCTAGAATGAAACCTTTGTGGTGGCTTTCCCTGTAGCTCATATCCAGTCAAGGGGCAGACAGACCCAAACTCAACAACTCTGAGACATCTTTAACCATGCTGAAGGCAGTGACTGTCGATTGGTAAAGTTACCATAGTCTTACTAGACGATAAGACTGCTCTCTCATTAGAGAGGTTGAGTAGGAGAATCTTTCATAGTAACTTCAACTGGTGCAGGAATTGAACCCATATTATGGGCATCACTCTGTTACAAACCAGACTTCCAGCCTACTGAGCTCACCAATCTCCTAGATCCTGTCAATGTGATTGTGCTGGACTGCAATGCAGTCCATTGACTTTCATGTGTTGTTGGAGAGACACCCACCACACCAACAAACAGAAAACAAAACTGGCAATAAAATGAGATTGTGTGACAAATTCCTTGCCATGACGTACATTCAGTGAGACATTTCGCTGAAGAGAATCAAATGCAGATGTGTTGATGCGGCTTTCTTTTTGAACATCAATAAATTTTTACTAGTGAGGTGCACCGAGTGCTTTGGAGTAAATTTTGGAATATTTGAGTATTCATGTACAAATCAGCAATTTTCTAATTGAATAGTGAAACGGTGCTTCAGGGGTGAATGGTCCACTCTTCATTCCATGTTTGATTATCAATAGCCTGAATGCCCTGCACTTCTCCAATGCAAAATGCTTAAATAGTCAATCACTACAAGACAGAGACTAAGAGTTAAATAGCTTTCTCTTATCCATATGTAAAATTGTGAAATACTGACTTCCTTTGTCCCCATGCTGTGTAACTGACTTACTCAAGGGCTAATGCAACAAGCTAGGCAGACAGAAAGTCAGGTGGCATGTCTGAAAGGTGGCATGTGCCCTTTGTGTTCCTATGAGACAGTATCAAATGCCTAAAAGAATCCCTCATTTGCTTTTTGTGCTAGAAGTTTGAATTATGACGCCGTCTGAATAAGTTAGATATTGCAAACAGAAGATTATCAAGTGGACAGTCACTGCTTTGAATAATATAAAACAAAGAACTGTGGATGTTGGAAATCTGAAATGAAAACAGAAATTGTTGGAGAATTCTCTCTATATTCTCTCTACAGATGTTGCCAGACCTGTGGAGTTAATTGGACATGAAATGTTAACTCTGCTATCTTTCTTTCTGAAGAAGTATTACTGGACTGAAAACATTAGCTCTGCTTTCTCTCCAATCTTTTCAATAACCAGTTCTGCCAGTCCCATTTTGGAACAGATTTTTAAATCTTCATCTACTGAATAAAGTCTGCTCGGACAGCTCCTCCTTCTCCAGACTTGAAAGTTAATTTTGGAAATTTGCGTGAGATTTAAATTCCTCTCATTTGCCCTGTTGAAAAAGCATTGGCTTTTTTTGAATGTGCAACATAGTGACAGACCATTTTCCCAAGATTCGAATATACATGGTTTCCGTTCCATACAAGCCTGTTCAAAATGTTTCTTTTTAAAACCTTATCGAAGTAATAATTGAACAGATTTTTATTTTAAAAAAGGCACATGCATCAGCTGATCTTTAATTTGGAAAATCTATCAGGATTCAATCTGTTGGATTCCAAAAATCCCTGCATATGTGTCACCTTGTGGTCCATGAACAGATCTACCACATCCAACATGCTCAAGAAAATCCTCATGATCAATACATCAGGCTGAGGAGAGAATTTAAATACCAGGTGGATATTTGGCACAGTACTGAAATCAATTAAAGTTTGCATCTGTATAATAACAGAATTAGTTGTGAAATTTCATCAACAGCTACATTGGCAGCTGGTGGTGGAGGGTGGTGCAATGTTCGTGGGCGTCTGCTGTGAAATCTCCTGTCCGTGTGTAGAATCTGCAAACAAAAATCAACTTGATTAAAATAAACCTACGTGGAACTGAAAGTGAGATACCTGCACTGGCTGAGATTACAATGGAGGACTCTCTTCAAACTCTCCCCTCGCCTGAGGTGTGGTGACCCTTAGGTTAAACCACCACCCATCGTCTCTGTCCAATGAGGGAGCAACTCAATGATCTGGTAAGACTATGGCAACTTTATCCTTTTATGGGTAGTTACAGTAACACTAAACTTGTTTCTGTATTGTCAGAAATGTGGGCAGTTGAGAAGGCAATGCTCTTCAGAGATTTGTGCTGCCTCAACCTTATAGTAATTTGTAGCATACTTGAGGGTCCTACACTAACATTAAAAATGACTATGCTGCTCCGACTTATTGGTACCCTCCATGCTCCCTGCTCTGTCGATCCTGATGTGAACACACACACACACACACACACACACACACACACACACACTGACAGGATCAGATTGTGTCCTCCAGGTACCTATTCCCCCCACAGTTGCATCAGAGATAAAATAGATCTTCCTGGAATACAGATGCCTCTGTGCTGATTATAGAACTGACTATTGTCCCAGTCAGGGTGACTGTTTATGATTCTGACCATGCTACATTTTTCAAGCACGAATGTTCAAGCACTGGTGACTGGGAAAGAATAACTGACCTGTTTAGAATCAATATTAAATGTACCATGGAGATCTTCCAATATCATCGAGTTGCAATTCCTGTTGGCCAATGAATGAGAAGAAAATGAAGTTTTGGTCTTCTATCAATTGAATGTGTCATTTATACAAATACACATTTATAGCTATTAACAGCAACCTGTATTCAATCATGAGATGTGGTCTTTACTGGCTGAGCTGAAACTTACAGCTAATTTGTAGTTGACATTGAGAAGGTGATGTTGAGCTGCTTTCCTAATGGCTGTTGTCAATTTTGTGTCGGTGCCTGGACAGTGGTCTTCCGGACAAAACCTCCACCTTCTTCCTAACTATTTCCAGAACTGAAAATAGCTAGGAAAAGATTTCTATATATGCCTGCAGCTGGGAGTGTGGTGAGGGGCGAGGAGTAAATGATAGATGGAGGTGGAGCCCAGAGAGAGTGAACAATTGTGCAGACAAAGGAATGGGATAATCGTCAGCCTGGGAGAATCAATTGCTGTATTGGGGACCATTATAGCTGACAATGGGTTGTTAGTGATAGCAGTCCAAATGAAGACAGGAATGGTCGCTGGACCTGAAACATTATTTCTGCTTTCTCTCTCCACAGATGCTGCCAGACCTACTGAGTTTTTCCAGCTATTTCTGATCTTGTTTATGGTTTCCAGTGTCGGCAATTCTTTGCTTATTTAACACAAGCAATTACCAGGGAAGGACCTTTGAGGGTGGAAAGTGAGAGCAGCCAGAAAGAGGATTCAATCTGTAATACCAAAAGCAGAGCTAAATGGAGGGAAGCATTGATTCTCAGGCAGAAGGGAGAGGCTTCATGGAGGCTGCAGCAGATTAAACCAAATATTGTTCCCTCTTCACCAGAAGACCAGAGGATATAGGAGCAGTGTTAGGCCATTGAGCTCATTGAATCTGCTCCGCCATTTGATCATGGCTGATATGTTTCTTAACCACATTCTCCTACTTTTGCCCACAAGCCTTCTTACCCTGAATAATCACAAATCTATCTATCCCTCTCTTAAAGACACAAATTCACCACCCTCTAGCTGAAGAAAGTCCTCCTCATCTCAGTTCTGAAAGGTTGTCCCTTCACTCTGATGCTGTGTCCTCTGGTCTTAGTCTCTCCGATTAGTGGAATATAGTGAGTGTAATGATATCAGCCAGGTGGACCCCATAGAATATGAGTTCCTTGATTGGGGATGTTAATCAGGTCCAATCAGGGAGCCCTGGCTGCCAGATATAAACAGGAGTGCCACAGGTTCTGCTCAATCTGAGAAAGCCAGTCCAGTGTCAAGGACTCTCCATGTATAAATAAAGGATGACTTGGTGACTGGATACCAGACTGTGAGGTGATTTTAGTGGAGAAAAGCACACTCCTGAAGAAATTCATTTGCAACAGTCATCTTTGAGTTGGGGTAAGCATTTCTGGCATCACACTGTTATTTGGGAAGCTTGACTCATTTGATCCTTCCATTGAACACTGGGCTCAGTATGTGGAAAGAATGTGTTATTTTTTTCGGGGCAAATGACATTGGGGCAGACGAAAAGCAGCAAATAATTCTCCTGCCAGCTTATGAGCCTGCAACTTTTTTGGTTATTAGAAGCCTAACTTACCCTGAGACACCAGATACTAAAACCTTTCAAGAGTTGACAGATTTAGTTAAGAAATATTACAAACCCAAGCCGCCTCTTATTCTGAGACATTATCAGTTTTACTTGGCAAATTGAGAATCAGGGAATCCCTGTTAGGATTTTTTACTGTGTTAAAACAACTGACAGAGGCATGTGACTTTGGTTTAAAGATATACTGAGAGACCGTTTGATATATGGAATGTGATGTAACCAGGCAAAAGCACCTACTAGCTGAAGTCCAACTGGCCTTCAAATGGGCACTACAACTGGCTTTATCATTGGAAAATGCAGCAAGTGGATCTTCTGAGTTGATGGTATTCCTTTGGATGTAGATACCCTCGCCAGTCTGACTGAGCTTGAGGAACACCCCTTGAGTGAAAGCAATTGCACAGCCTCACTCAGAACATATCCTAATCAGAGTGACCCTAGGTCAGCCTACAGCATAACCCCCAAAACAAAGCCAAGCCTCAGCCAAACGGTTAAAGCTTTCTTTAGGATCCAGGCCAGCAAGCCATCATAGTAGCTGCTGGTATGTGGGCTTGAAACAGCAAAAGAGTCCCGCTGGACCTAAATGGAATAAGAGAACTCGCAGGCCGGTATCTAGGAGAGTGCGCACCCTGGAAAGTCCACCTACATCTGGTTTAGAACAATTAAATTGGTTAGCAAATCAGAACCAATCAAAATAAATGTCAGGCTAAATGGTCACCCAGTTCTAAGGGAGATCAATACCAGCACAGCCAATTCAGTGATCGCAGAACCAGTCTTTAAAAAAAAAAATTGTTCCAGTCTCCAACCTTTAAGATTGTGCAAGAGCTCGGCTAGACTGAGAACCTATAGCAGGGAACCGTTACAGATTAAGAGTACAGCGTTGGTTCTGGTCTTGTATGAGAAGCAGCTGGTTCTGTTAGCTTTAATTGTAGTGAAAGGTTTGGGCCCAAGCTTGATGAGGCAAAATTGGTTGCGAAAGAGTCAACTAGATTGGCTCAACATGTTTTGATTAAAAAATAGCTGCCCGTTGAACTCCTAATTAAATTCCCGGATGTTTTTTCCGAAGGTCTAGGACTATCAAAGGAGTTAACGTCACCCTTAATGTTAACCAGGAAGCAATTCCACAATTCTACAAGGCCCATCCAATGCCATTTGCCTTATGGGCAAAAGCAGAGGCAGAAATCAGGAGGCTGGAAAGTGAAGGAATCATCAAAACAGTCCAGTTTGCAGAAGGAGCAGAACCGATCATACCAATTGTGAAGCCCAATGGGTCAGTTCGCCTTTGTAGGGATTTTACAGAAACCGTAAACTGCTTCTCACAGCTGGATAAATACCCAGTCCCTTGCATAGAAGATTTGTATGCAAAGTTGGCAGAGGGGCTGTACTTCAGGAAGGTGGACATGAGCCATGCATATTTGCAGTTACAGTTAGATAAGGATTCTCGGAATTATGCTATATGAAGGCTTTGTACCAAAGAGGAGAATGTCATTTGGGATATCATCAGCCTGTGCAATTTTTCAGTGGACGATGGAGAACGTTTGATAAGGCCTACCTCCTCACACACTGTCTGATGTCACTGGGGTGTTGACTCCTAGCCACTTTCAAGTTTCCACTGAAGTCAGAAATTTATAAAAACCGAAAGAACTCCAGATGCTGTAAATCAGGGAAAAAAAACAGAAGTTGCTGGAAAAGCACAGCAGTTCAAAGGAAGGGGTCACCAGACCCAAAACGTTAATTCTGATTTCTCTTCACAGATGCTGCCAGACCTGCTGTGCTTTTCCAGCAACTTCTGTTTTTGTCTGGATATTTATAATTTGTCTCCAAAGCCCCTCTTGAACCTCCCATGGCAGTGTATGCATTGTGTACAGGACATTAATATAATATATTACAAAATGCTAATCCAATAAACCTTCCACACTGACGCTCTAATTGCGAAGATTAAATAAACTTCTCACCTTCACGAACAAACAAAATATTTCGTCTGTCAACACAGAACAGCTGTGCCGCTGGAAGCTGCTCATGCTCGGTGGTGAGTACCATGCCGCGCATATGCACTAGGTCGGATATCAGCTGTTTCCTTCACTGTCTCCGAAAAGGGGTAAGATGGCGGACATGCGCAGTTTACAGATTCCCCGGTTGTTTCACGCGAGCTGTGCGTCTCGTGCAGAGTCGGTTCAACGGCCGATTCCCCCTATGTCCACAGCCGCATGAAGCCAAGGACAGGGTTTCGAAAGGTGGCCTATCCCAATTCGTCACACCAAACGTCGACTAACCCCATCCAGCAATAGGCAGCTAAAATGCTCCTTTCCTCCTGTATAACCAGGCAGTTAAAGTCGAGCATTTGGACGAGGTCAGAAGTCACATGAATTTGAAAACACGAGCTTTCGGAGCATCGCTGTTTCTTCAGGTGTCGGTGGGAGAGGTCGAATCAGACAGAGAATTTACAAGTAAAAGATCAAAGGGTCACATCACTGTTGAGGATGTATGAAACAAACCTGAGATGCGGTTAAATCTTCAATCAGTTAGAAGGTTTTAATTGATTAATATGTATATGTAAATCTCCAAATTCCTTTCAAGTCATGGCCCTGAGAGAACTAAAAGTTTTATCAGAGTAAAAAGAAGTGACATTTTAGGTCAGACAAGCATGTTAGGTGTGAGGCCTTGTTTCGAATCTGTTTGTGTTTTGGTTTGGAGTCAGACTGGTTTTATTTCTAAAGTAGAAATTTATAAAATGCCACATTGACTGACTGACTGTTTATAAATTGTGTGCTTTTAGAACAATGTAAAATGTATCTGCAAAAAGAATTTCACCCCATAGGTTTACATGTGTGCGTGTGTGTGAGGGGGTAAAGAGATAGAGACAGAGTGTGCATGTGAGAGGGGAAAGTGTGTGTGTGTGTGCGCGCGCGCCCGGGATGGGGGCACGAGGGGGAGGGAGCGCGCGCGAGCGCATGCGCGCTGGGGGAGGGGGAGCGCGCGCGAGCGCATGCGCGCTGGGGGAGGGGGGCGCGCGCGAGAGAGTGCGAGCGTGTGTGTGTGCGCGGATGTGCAGTGAGTGCATGTGCGTAATTGTGTGTGTGCACTCAAGTGACATTGTGTGTATGAGAGAGCATCTGTTTCAGAGTGTGTGAGTCTGTGTGTGTATGTGTGAGAGAGAGAGAGAGTGTGTAGTGTGCTGGAATCACATGTAGTGTGACTTGAACCCAAGATTTTGGTTGAGGCCATCCTCATGGGTACTGACCTTGGCTATCAGCCTCTGCTAGGCGACTCTGCGTTGTTGTCTACCCCAAAGTCTGTCTTGGAGGACGTTTACCTGAAAATCCAAGGACGAATGTCCTTGACTGCTGAATTGTTCCCCCACTGGGAGGGACCATCCCTGTTTGACTGGCTTAAGTGGTTATAGCCCAACAGGTTTATTAGAAATCACAGGCTTTCAGCTTCCACAACAGGTGAAGAAGGATGATGAAGGAGCAGTGCTCCGAAAGCTTGTGATTTCAAATAAACCTGTTGGACTATAACCTGGTGTCATGAGACTTCTGACTTTGTCCACCCCAGTCCAACAACAGCACTCCACATCATGCCTATCCTGGTTGTTGTTTCAACTTCTAAGGGGAAATAGTTATTCCTACCTACCCGATCTATACCCCTCATAATTTTGTGCACCTCAATCAGGGCCCCATCAGGTACTCTGCTCTAATAAAAACAATCCCAACCTCACTTGATAGGTGAAACACTCCAACCTCAGTGAATCTCCCCTGCACACTTGCCTGTGAATTTTTTTTATGATGGTGGCGGTGGCAAGGTAAGCAGCGTTCAGGCTCCTGAGCCCATTGGCTTCCGATCACCAGGCCAGCCTTGTCCTTTTTTCTCTACTTTCTTCTTTTGTCTCTTGTCTTCATTTTCATCTTCATCTCTTCTTTTCAGTGGTGACGGCAGACGAAGGTGGTCTCTGCGGCAGCGGTGTTGTGAGCCTGGACCAGGATTCCTGGTGGTTGCAGAGGTGGTGGTATGGTAGGCCCAGAGCGGGACTCCTGGTGGCAGCATTATGGCGGACCCATACCGGGATGCCTGGCAGTGGGGGCAAGTCATTGGCTACAGCGGTGCTAGCATGATAGGCCTGGGTTGGGGCTCATGGAGGCGGTGGCGTGTGGGTACAGGGCTGGACACCTGGCAGTGGCATGGCACCGTCTGCAGCAGCACTGTCATGGTAGGCCCAGGGCAGGACTCCTGGTGCCAGCAAAGTTCTGAGCTCAGGGCTGGACTCCTAGCAGTGGCAAGGTGGTGGCTGTAGTGCTGGAAACACGTTAGGCCCTGAGCGGGACTCCTGGCAGCGTCGGCGAGGCAGTGGCGGTGTTGGGGGACATGGAGTGGTGGGCCTGTAGTGGGGCTCCTGTCAGCAGCAGGGAGGCGGCTGTGGCCTAGGGCTTCCCAGAGCCTAAACAGAACTCACGGAGCCATGAGGGAGAAAAAGATTAACTTTGTCTTAATTATACCTTCTGATATATTAAGTAATTAAAAATGGCGCTGCAGTGTGGTGACAATTAGCACTTTTCACTGTATTTAGGAAAAATATGTACGACAGTAAATTATTCATTCAAATTACATCCTTCCTATTTTTGGTGACTGGAACCCAACACAATAGACACAATAGCTGTGACCAACTGACACCTTATATAGCTACAACATAACCTTCCTGCTTTTGCCTGTAATGTCTAAATTAAGAAAGCTAAGTATCCCATACACAACACACACAAACAAACACAGAAGTTGCTGGAAAAGCTCAGCAGGTCTGGCAGCATCTGTGAAAAGAAATCAGAATTAATGTTTCGGGTCTCGTGACCCTTCCTCAGACAGTATCCCATATGCTTTTTTAACCACTTTATCTTGCTGTCCGGCTGCTTTCAAGTTTCAAGTGAACACCAAAGTCCCCTTGATCCTCTATACTTCCTAGGATCCTACTATTCATTGTATACTCCTTTGCCTTTTAGTCCTCTCAAAACACATGACCTCACATTATCTAGGATTAAATTCCAATTGCCAATGCTCTTTCTGAGCAACCCATCTATATCATCCTTTACTCCTAAGGCTTTTTGCCTCACTATTTACCACACTACTGATGTTTGGGTAATCTGTAAGCTTGCAGATCAAGCCTCCTAAATTCTAGATCATTAATGTACACTGCAACCAGCAAGTGACCCAGCAGTACGGAACAAGACAGACTTTCTATCGAAAAACCTCGGACCCTCTGCCTCCTGTTAATAAGCAGTTTTGGATCCAAATTGTCCTGGATCATGTGGGCTCTCATCTTCTTGATCAGCCTTCAATTCAAAAGGCTTTGGCATAAGATTTGCTGAATCCCATGTAGACTACATTGACAGCACTACTCTCATTCACAAATCTAGTCACCTTTTCGAAAAACCCAATCAAATGTGTCGGACATGATCTTCCTCATGACAAAGCCATGCTGACTATCCTTGGTCAATCCTTGCCTCTCCAAGTGGAGATTAATTCTGGCCCACAATCTTTACCAAGTTTCCCTACTACTGGCACCTAGGTTTATAGGCCTATAGTTCCTGGTTTATCCCTTCCACCCTCTTGAATAATGGTACCACATTTGGATACTGATGCATAACTTGGTGGTTTGGGGATTATATTTGGGAGGGTTGGAATCATCTAGACAATTTTTTTTTCTAGGATGTAGTTGAATTCCTTAGGATAGGTAGTCCAAAGTTGGTTCATGCTTGGGAACAGGAGGGGCTGTCTGTGAGAGAGGCGCATGTGTAGATTCAGAAAGCAGCATGGGCGGATCCTCACCTCTTGCAGTTATCCAACATAGAATTATTATGGAAAGAGGCCATTCGACCCATTAAGTCTGTACTAACCCTCAGAGTATCCCACCTGGGTCGACCCTCTAATCCTATCCCATAACCCCATATTTGCCATGGATAGCCCACCAGGACATGATGGGGCAACTTAGCGTGGCCAATCCACGTAACCTGCACATCTTTGGAATGTCAGAGTAAACTGGAGCATCTGGCAGAAACCCACGCAGACACAGGGAGAATGTGTAAACTCCATACAGACAGTCACCCAAGGCTGGGATTGAATCTAGGTCCCTGGTGCTGTGAGGCAGCAGTGCTTACCACTGTGCCACCCATGTTTGAGGAACATGAAATCTGTGTGGGTAAATGGTCCTTCCAATGCACAAGCATAATGTGCTCTCACCAGTGTGTGGTTTCCTTTCCGGTGACCAATGTGTACCTAACAAAGCATGTCTACCTTCACTGGCACAACGTGCTGTGCTTCCCTTCTGCTTCTCAAAGGTTAACAGTACACCCTTAGGGCTGCTGCCTACCATTGCTGAGGTGTATGGAGCAACAAGCAATGTTTATGACAGGCATAAACATAACTTGAGCTACCATAACTTGAGCATTCCTCCCAGATGTACAATCTTGCCATTGGGAAATGGTTACAAAAATTTAAGTATCAGGCCATTCGTCTCCAAATACTGCAAGCCTCCAAAGGTAACCCCATGAAAGCTCCTAAAGGGTAAAATAAAAGACATGAACAGCCTACTATCATAAGGCAATGATGAAAGGAGTTAAAGCATTATAGCCCATAGTGTGCACGTGACTGAGAGACTGCATACACACATAATTACAGATGTCTGTGAGCAGGAAATAAAAGACACAAATAATTAACTTGCCTCCCTTGAGAAACCTCTGAGGCCTGTCCACAGCTGAAAAATGAGTTTAAAAGTCACAGAAATGAAATCTCCTTTCCTTTTATCTCTGATAAAAGGGAGGTTAAGATACAATCAGGCACATTGGATTCCTAAAGTTAGGGACACAATCTACATCACTATATTCAAATAGGGAGACAAGTCTGATTGCTATAACTACAAATCGGTCTCCCTGCTGTCTCTCACAGGACAGTGCATTGCAAAGATCATCCTCAACACCTTCTCCCAGTGACCAAGGAACTCCTTCCTGAGAGGCAAAACAAACATAATATTCGCTGTCCAACAAATCAAAAAATATGACGAACTAACTGCTGTACATGTTCTCTTCACCCATCAGGAAAGCCTACAACTGTCACTGACGAGGCTTATGGAGTGTTTACATAAAATTTAGCTGTGCTGAAAAACGTGTCATTGTCCTCTGCTGACTCCATGATCATTTGCAAGCTGTGATCCTCACCAACAGAACCACCACAAACCCATCTTATTGGAAGAGATAACAAGGTGTAGAGCTGGATGAACACAGCAGGCCAAGCAGCAT